CATAGTGAAAATGGCCATACTACCAAAACTGCTATATACATTCAATGCAATGCCAATTGAAATTCCAACACTATATTTCACAGAACTAGAAAAAAAAATCCAAAAATTCATTTGGAACCATAAGAGACCTAGAATAGCAAAAGCCATCCTAGGCAACAGACACATGGCACCAGGTGTAACAATTCCCAATTTGAAACTATACTACAAAGCCACTGTGATAAAAACAGCATGGTACTGGCAAAGAAATAGGCCTGAGGATCAGTGGAACAGACTGGAAGACACAAAAACAAATGCAGATGTACTCAGCTACCTCATCTTTGACAAAGGAGCTGACCATCCTCAGTGGAGGAAAGATAGCCTCTTTAATAAATGGTGTTGGAAAAACTGGATGTCAACCTGCCACAGATTAAAATTAGACCCTTATCTTTCGCCATGCACTAAATTAAAAATGTAAGTGCAATTTAAAAAATTATGTATAAAATTTTTGTACATGAGTATTTTGTATAATCCTAAAAATATAAAATATTTTAAACTGTACAATGCTGAAATTTATGACAGCATCAGGGCTATGACGGAACTGCCTGTGGGCCTGGCCCTTCCTTGAGGAATCCTGCGCTGGCTCCCAGAACCCCTCAAAAGCCTCCTGAGGGTTATGTTTCAGTTCTGTCTCCAGGGAGGGAGTGCACTTGGAAGGTGAAGCCAACTGGGGACACATTAGGCACATCCATGTCACAGCCAGAAAAACAGGCTGTGCTCTATGAGCTGCAACCCTTAATTTATAAAAGGGGTAGGGAGGGCTGAAGGGGTGCAGAAACAAAGACATTAAAGCAAAATTTTTCAAACAATCCATTTCCAAAAGCCTCTGAGGCCACTGTTGGTAAGAGACATTAGGCATTTACTATTCGGAAACAAGGCCACCAGACACCGAGCCTTGGGCAGAATGCCCCATTTCTGTTAGGTGAAGGGAGCACCTTACCCTCTGAGTTGCTCTTCACAGGCCAGGTCCAGCATGAAGAACCAATGAGTACTTGTGCACAAGCCTAGAACAGCAGCGAGAGGTGCCCTGCCTGGCCATGGGGAACGGGGTGCACCCATGGTGGCAAGCACACAGGTGTCCTTCAAACTGCACATGCTAAGCATACTCGCAAGTGACTGAAGAAAAAAAGGGGGATTGCAGTGGGAACCCTGTCCTTGTGTTGAAACCAGAACACAGACCAGTCTGGCTCCACAGTACAGACACAGTACCGTGGACATGTGCTAGTCAGTGCCTTCCTGCCAAAACTGAAACTTACCTGGAAGACTTTAATTTTTGTAACACTGGAGACCAAAGAAAATTTAGGATAAGTGGCAGGCAGCATTTAGAGAAACTTGATTTTCTTTTTAATGCATACCAGGGGGATTGAACCCAGGGCCTTTTCACTACATCTCCTGCCTTTTAAATTTTTTTTAGTTTGATACAGGGTCTCACTAAGTGGCTAAATTGCCAGGCAGAGTTTGAACTTGTGATCCTCTTGCATCAGCCTCTCGAGTGCTGGGATTACAGATATGCGCCACTATTCCTGGCTTCTTCAGTGTTTTGATGTTGCCTTTTCTGAGGGACCAGAAAGTTACAAGCCCAAGTAAACCTGAATTTTACAGACTCAAAGCCTAATGGAACACCAAAGTCATCCCACCTACATCATGTTTTCACTTTGGGTCCTCTAACAGTTTGCAAAACTATGGACAAGAAGAATGGGAATTTCAGAACCGAACTTACACACCCGAGGAAGGAGCAAATTGAGGAACAGTCGCAGAACTCTCAATGGCCTTATCACTACCTATTCTATAAACAGATACTGAATTTGTAAGACAAAATGTATCCGATTTACCTCTAAGCCATGTCAGCTCACCAAGGCTGTATATACTCAGTATAAATTCATATTTAGTAAAAGCCAAAAGTCAAAATTCCCAAATGCATTCTTGGAATCCTGGCAGGCAGACAAATAGGGCTTGGCAGGAGCTAGAGTTGTTGACAGCTTGGTTCTCAGTTTTCCTCTCCAGCAACAAGGCTCGTACCACAGGGTGACTCCGCGTGGCGCAGCAGCTGCCCAGGGAATGTGGCCCAGTGTGAATTGCTGCCAAGAACCAAGTCTCTGAGACCACTCAGTTCCCCATTTTGGCCTACGTGTATACAAATTGTTACTGTAGTTCTAAAGTTCATAATCTTTAAGATGTTCGAATTTAATTTCTGAAAAGAGAGGTTGAACCAAGTCTCTGAGACCACTCAGTTCCCCATTTTGGCCTACGTGTATACAAATTGTTACTGTGAGTTCTAAAGTTCATAATCTTTAAGATGTTCGAATTTAATTTCTGAAAAGAGAGGCCGAAAACTTTTATGCTTCTGGTTCTACAGTTTTGAGACCTCTTCCTAAGACATTTTGATATGTTGTCAGTTGTTACTTTTGAAGAATTTAAAATTGCTGAACAAGATTAGTCAAAGGCAGGATACAAAAATCAAAATTCAAAACCTATTTTCCATACACCAATAATGGACTAGCTGAGATAGAAATCAAGAAGACAATTCCATTCTCGATAGCTTTAGCTACAGCTCAAGCTAAAGAGAGGTAAAAACATCCACACTAAAAATTTCAAAACACTGAAAAAAACTGAAGACACAGAAGATGGTAAGACCTATGTTCGTGGATTAGAATAATTAATGTTAAAATGGCCATACTGCCAAAAGTGATCTTCACATTCAATGCAATCCCATCAAAATTCCAAAAATATTCTTCACAGAACTAGAAAAAAAAATAATCCTAATATATATATATAGATAGATAGATAGATAGATAGATAGATAGAAAGAAAGAAAGAAATACAAAAGACCAGGAATAGCCAAAGCAATCCTAAGCAGAAAGAGCAAATCTGGAGGCATCACAATATCCGATTTCAAATTATCCTAAACCTGTGGTGACAAAAAACATCACGGTACTAACACAAAAATAAACACACAGACCAATGGGATCAAACAATGGACAAAGAAATAAATCCACACAACTATAGCCATCTGATTCTCAACAAGGGAGCCAAAAACATACTCTGGAGAGAATACAGTCTCTAACAAATGGTGCTGGGAAAACAGGCTATCTATATATAGAAGACTGAAACTAGATATCTCTCTCTCTCTCTCTCAATCTCTCTGGGGTGAGGGGTCAAGAAGGAACTCTGTTATACTGCTGTTAAGAATATGTTAGTATAGACACTATGGAAATTAGTATAGGGCCACCTCAAAAAGCAACAGAACTACCATATAGCCAAGCTATACCACTCGTTGGTGTATACCGCAAGTCAGCATACCATAGGAATATTGGCATACACGTGTTCATTATGGCACAAGAGCCAAGATAGGGAACCACTTTAGGTACCCATCAACAGATAAATGAATAAAGACAATGGGAGTAACACATACACTAGTGTATTATTCAGCCATAAAGAAAAGTAACATTACATCATTTGCGGGAAATGGGAAATCATATTAAGCAAAACAAGCCAGACTCAGAGAAGTACCACATTTCCCTAATATGTAAAAGTGACGACAAGAAAAGTAGGAAGGTGACTATTACTAGACAAGAGGAAGAAAATGAGGAGGAGCAGAGCATAAGAGTAATATGAGGATGGAGTAAATAAAAGTTGTATCATCAAAAGAACAGGACGTTCACATGAATTGAGGTGAAAAGGTGTCCACTATACTCCATTAAGCAAAATGGCAGCTTACAAAACAGCACTGCCAGTTTTATTTAAAAAATGCATTAACATATATTGAGAGATATCAAGAAGTCATCTGGAATAGTGTTAAATGTTTTAATCTGCCTCCGGTAGTGAGATACTGAGTACATTTTTCTTTTAAATGTTTCTAAGCAGAGGAAATTAAGAATTGTTGTGAGGTGACAGATCATTTCACCATGATATGTATCACAAAACATGTTAAACCCCTTAGATTCTCAATAAATAAATAGTGTATTTTTAAAAATTAAGCCACCGGGAAGGAAAGGAGAGCAATAGTAGCAGAGAGCAAGGTCTCTCATCCTTGCGTGTGAAGGAGTGTCTGGGATCTTGGGGTGCAGTCATAGCTCTGGAGAGGCCTCACATGAATGCCTCCTGACATTCTCCACGCTGCTAGTCCAAGGACCTCACTCTAAGGAGAGCGCAGACTACACGCTGCATGTTTGTAGAAGTGAACAGTTTCATCTATTCATCCAGCATCTTAAATTGACAGAACACACCTGACAACACCCACCGGGACAGAATACTACTTGATGCTTGCGGGCCTCTCTCCGGAGAGATGGCCCAGCTGGGTGTCCTGGGCTCTCCTGATGCCTCTCTATGTGGAAAATGGGAATAATCACAGCACTTACCTGATAGGGTCATTGTGGGGATGCACATGGATGACTGTGAAATGATCACGCAGTAAATCCTTCACAGAAAATGGTGCTGGGCTCAGCTCTGAGGTAACGAGTCTCATCTTGAAGTCCAGCAACAATAACTTTGGAATCCCTGCAAAAAAGAAATTGTAGTTCCCAGTATTTCCCACAGAAAATGCTTCCAGCATGCTAAGCACAAATGAGTGCTAGTAGGACGAGCCACCTTTCATGGGAACATGAACCCAGACTCTTGTGGAAAAGGTGAGATACATTGTGACTATTGATGTTCTCAAGCAATTCTCATCAAAACCCATGGGCTGTGTTCTCAGAAGTATTAACTCTTGCTAAATTCCTTTCCTGACAGAGCAGGACAAACCCCTTTAAGTCTAGCTCTCCCCAAAACATTTCAGGAGGTCCAAATATGCTCAGACATGTAAAAAAAGAAACAAACTGAGATAGCAACAGAGCCGAACTGGAAATGCCCAAGTTCAACAGAATAACCTTTGGATGGATTTCTAGGTCATTTCAATGTCCTGCAATTTCTGTCTCTGGGTGTATTTTTAACAACTAAAAACTGAATGCACCCTTGGGAGGGAAGCTGCTCCAATTTTGGCAGCCCCTAATGAGTAGAGGAAATTTTATCAGAGCCCATGCTGGAGGCTGAGGCCTCCATGCCCTCCTCCCTCCTCGACCTGCAGAAGCTGAGGGTGTCACTGCTGAGCCACAGCTTTTGACTCAAATGACTTTTACAGTGGCACTGAATGAGGCTTTGTTCCCCTCCCCTAACTGCCAAGGTACAACTGCCAGTGGCTTGAACTTGAGAGTCCTTGTACTAGGTTCTCAACCATGTGAGCTCCTGAGAATGCTAGGGCATAAAAGGTCAAGAGACCCATTTTTAACAGGAAGAAAATGGCTCAGGCAGACCAGCCCCCTGGGACCATGAGCCAGTACCCAGTTGGCACTTACTGTGGACTTTAGCCCTGAAGAGTGCTGCCCTCGGATGACTCAGTGGGGAAATGGGGCTATTTCCAAATCTACTTTTAGCATTTCCTTTTTTTTCTTTTTTTAAAGAAAAGGTGACTAAGAAAGACTAACCTGGTTTAGCATTTGGCTCCGTTTGAGGGGTATATGTGTATGTGTTTAATTCTTATTTGTTTCCCAGGAAGTTCAACGCCAGAGGGGACAGAATCAATAATTATTATAAATTGTATCTAACTCTCATGGGATTAGGCTGAGGAAAATCAGCTTTTAGAAGATCTCAAAGACCGCGTGATGGGTGCACCCTGCCAAGCCTCCAGCCACTTGAGCTGCGGGATGGGGCTGACATCTGAACTAATGTTCTTGTTGCGACACATAAGTCAGGAGTACACACTCCATTATTTTGGGAGGAGATAAAGCACCAAAGCTTGAACTGGCTACTCCATAGGGGCAGCCATTACTGATGAGGAGCCAAAAAGTATGGCTCCACCAGCATCTGCCCACCTGCGCAGCTACTGGATCGCTGAGCACAGGGCACGATGGGTTAACCATACTTGAGCCTGGTTCCATGTGGACGAGCAGCTTCTGCCTGCACTGGGGTCCAGGTTAGAGCCCAGCGCAGAGTGTTGGGATCAGGGACCAACTTCTGCCATACCCTGCTCCATGTGGCCCTGTTCCCCAGCACAAGGCAGTAGGTGGACCATGGAGGACCACGTCATCCACAGAAACATCTCAAAAGTGGAGACACTCACAAATCAGAAGACTTAACTCAAGCAATTCTGCTATTAACAAAGTTAAGGTTAGTAAAGGTAACATGAGCGATGTGTTTGTAGACATTTTAGAGACAACTGTAAAATTTGCTTGGTTCCATTTTAAGGGCAAAAGAACACTTAATGAGAACCCACAGTTACATTTTTCAATAAAAGGAAATGATGAAATTCTGCAGAGTAGCTTTTATTTGAAATTTTTTAAACCAATGCTTGCCTCTCACACAAAATATTCTATTTATTGGGCACCATCTCAAATCTATTTTCCTATTCTATCATAAGTTCTCCTTTGTCCTACATTTCCTATCTCCTGCTTACTATCTGACTATCAATCCCAAACTAAGGTGCTGGGAGAAATTAACTAGTACTAAGCTATCCTTATACACCCTCCCAAAAAAATAGCTGCTAGAAGGTAGGAGAAGGAGTGCAAAAGTAGCTTTGCTTTTATATACTGTTTCCCTCCTAGAGATTCACAAAGTTATCTAAAGTCTTGCAATAAAGTTTAACACTTCTTGAAAACTCAGAGATAGCCAAACTTGTATGAAATACAAACCTCCTCTTCCTTCTCATAAAAGGTGTTTTCCCATGGGAAATGCTGGCTTTTGCCAACATCTGAAACCTGAAGGGCAACAGTTCCTGCTTCTGAGAACACTAAGCTGTCTGCCAAGGGCAAACGGTCTTCCAGGATTCAAGGGTGGCCAAGAAAACCTACCAGTTCCTAAGAGGACCTTCCCTGTACCCTGTGTGGGAAGACTACACAGTGCCTAAGGCCAGTGCAGAGGGCACAGGATACCTGCATGCCTGTCAGCAGACGGGGTCCACAGAAGTCACCCCAAAGAGGAGGTGGAAAGGTCAACTCACCCCACCCATGGAGTAGGCTACAGGTTCACTGACTTGTGTCACAGAAAAAGAATTCTAGGACACATCAGTGAGAGGTGCAGACAGACTTTACTAGGCAGAGCCAAAGAAGTACACAGAGAAAGTGAAATGCAGCCCCTCAAGAGAAAGCTCATAACGGTCTGTGGCTGGGGATATTTAGGTGTTCAGGGGAGGGTGTCCTCACAATGAATGATACAGGATGCGTATTCCTAGGGTCTGTCAGGCTGTTAGTGGGTTAGGTTAGACTGCAACTATGTGCATGTATTTGAAGTTTAGAGCTAGGGCATGTAATTAATAGTGCTATCTCCATGGGGAAGGAAGTCTGTAGAATCTGTGAATTATTAGAGGAAAGGTCCGGGTTTAATTTATAGGTAGAAAGCATGGGCTCGATTTATAGACTTACTTTTAAGACTTAGGGTTTTTTTTTTTCTTTTTGTTTTTGTTTTTTTTTTTTTTTAGTTTCCTGGAAGAGGAAAATAGTCATTGTAATAGTGAGTAACTTGTGTGTCCCGAAGCTGTGGTTTTTCTTAACCGTATAATTTTTTAAATTACAATTTTTGTCTCCTTTATGCCATCTTTATTTCTTCTACCTTACCTAACCCCAGGCTCTAACCACATGCAAAGCCTTAAATCCCAACACTTACCTAAAATCCTGTTGAGCTGAATGCAATGTGGGATCCTTGATCAGACCTCGAAAAAAGACATCAGTAAAAACATTGGTAAAAATGTAAAGTTTGGAATTTAGCTAACAGTAATCTCCCTATATTGGTTCTTTAGTTTTAATGAATAGTGACGTGTTGACATAAAAACTATCTTTAGTACTTTCCTAAAAATCTGAAATTATTCAAAAATCAAAAATTTTAAGTGTTTTTTCTGAAAAAGAAATATTCTAAGACAGTCAGCTGCTACGTCTGAAGCTCACCCACCCATCTCTGTTTTGGAAAGGGGCCTGATGAGTGCAGACTGGGTTTATCTCCCACAGGACTGGCACTGAAGGGCCAAAGCCAAGGGCTGACGGCGTCTAGTGAGGACCTGCTTTCTCAAAACCGTAACTTCTCACTGTGTCTCACCAAGGGCAGGGCACCACTTTGGGACATGTTCCCGAGGATGCTGATTCCACTCGTGAGGGCCGTGCCTGATCACCAAACCCAATCACTTGCAAAACCCCTACTTCCTCATGTCACTGTGGGGGTCGGGCTTAACACATGCTCTGACCACAGCAGGACCCAATGGCACACTGGGCAGGATGAAGAGGGACTGTTCTACCAGGTCAAGGAGGTAAACGTACCTGGGCCACCATCACTAAATGTCAACAGAGGGCCCCAGTCAGTGACCTTCAGCTGCACTTGAGACCCAGTGCAGATGACAAGACCTGCACCTCATCACTACGGAACTGCATACTGCAGTGAAACATAAAACTCACTGTGATGTCTTTGTGTGCTCTCCGAAGTCACCTGCCACATCACGATGTTCCTTTTTATGGACCACTGGGCAGCCTCAGTTAAATGTACTGCCCCAACCTAGTAGCTGGGCATAATACAGGTTATGGTCAAGTCCAGGGCAAACCACTGTGTGATAATGAGCAAGTTATATTCAGGTAAAAAACTGGAATAACAGTGATAATCATAATTATTGAGGCTTATTATGTGCTAGGTATAGAAATGTAATTTGTATGAATTAATTCATTTAATCTTTGTAACAATTCCATGAGGTAAGGTAATATTTCTGTCCCCATCTTGAACTGGAAGAAAATGAAGCAGATTAGGAAAATGAAAAAGATTAGGAAACCTTTCCAAGGCCACACAGCTAATAAACAGCAGAGCCAGAGGGCTGTGGTGGCAATTAAACTGGACAGTGAATTGTAAGTATGGACACAGAACCTGGCACACAGCACGCAATCAGTGCAGGTTATTACTAAAATCAGAATCTTAATATCCATTTCTGTGCATTAATCTTAGACAAAACATAATTTTCTTACCTTTATGGCAGAAAAGCCCAAACAATGGTCTTCTCTGGTTCAGCATCAAATTATGACAAGTTCATTCCAAGAAAAGGTTGTCCACTCTGTTATAATTCCTGTAAGTCTGATTTTAGAGAGATTGGCCTATTCTTTTTTTCCTGTAAAGTACTAGATATTAATGTGCTAGGTTTGGTAAGCCAGATAGTCTCTATCCTTCTTCTTTTTAAATATTTTTCAACCCTTTTAAAACTGCAAACTGTAACAAGGGCTGTAGTTTGCTAGCCCTTGATTTCTACAATTACTAATAGAATACCACACAAGTCATCAAAGGACTTTCACACGGCATGGGTGGAACTAAATTGTCTAGTTACATTTTCATTGAACCTTACCTACCAAAAAAATTGCCAAAGGATTTCCTTAAATTGCTAAGTGATCAGGCCAGTGAAGGGCTGGCTATCCAAAGGTTCATAGGGGGAAAAGTTAAATCCAGAAATGGATTTGTAGGAAATCTAGATTATCTATAAAAGTGGAGTCTCCAAAGCACAAGTGATAAAAGGGGAAAAGGAAACTACTCCAGAAAAACCAGTGTTTTAGAAGCAGTAGAGAATTTCATATAACAAATATTTATTGGGGGTTTCTATGTGCAGGTACTGTTGTCAGTAATAGAATTCTAGAGCTGTAAATTCAAAGGAAGCTTAGAAATTATCTGGTCCAATCTCTTTATTGCATGGATGAGGCCTCCAAGTTATTTAAGGTAACTTGGCTATTTTTATACAAAATTAAGAGGAGATTTCTTCGCTCTTCAACTTTTGGGTTATGTGAGTTATTTATGTAGGTTTGTTGAAGAGCTTATTATTAGAAAGTTACCATTCTCTTTACTACTTTTAAACCCCTATTAATCTGGCAAAACAATGCATCACACACGTTTTATAAATGTACTGGAGGTACTCTGCTGTGTTCACGCACTCGGGGCATTCGGAAGAGGCTTTCATCATGGAAACAAGTCTGATTTGCCTTTATTTCCCTGCTTCTCTCCTGTCCATCTGTTGTTTTCTAATTCCACGGCTGCTACCACCACTGTTTTGAGCTCCTGTCTTTCTGCTGCAGCGCTTCCCATTCCAATTCCTCTAAATATATACTATTATACATTTTCCTCCTCAGAGCCAGACTCTAGCCCTATCGCCTCACCTTCTGAATTCCTGAACAAATCCTATCCACTAATCCGAAGCCTGGTTCTTCAGATCCAAATCTATCTTCTCCCTGCCACCCCCACTGTATTTGCCATCACTCCGTCTTCTCTGACGCTCCCTTCAAGCTGCCAAAGACCTCCTCCCTAAATATCCTCGCCTGAACCTTTGCTAGAGCCTCTCTCTTCTCTGGGAATTGCTTTCCTACTCAGCACAACCGTGAGAAAGCCCACCCTCCTCCACGCTAACTGCCTCGGTTTCCTCTCCATTTCTGTAGCTCTTGGGTCTACTTTCTTATGGCAGGAACCAAATTTGACCTTCTTGTAGTTTATCTGGGTAAATAACCTAATGCATCTACTTAGAGCAAGCTGTCCATTCTGCAAATACAATGAGAAACAGTTTTAAGTTAAAACACCAAATTTATTGCATAATACTGAACTATATGCACACACATATAAAATAAACATTTCATATAACTGTATATCTTTTCTTAATCTTGTATTTATAAAGACTGAAAAACTACCAATTTAGCAATTGGAAAGTTTCAAAAACAAAAAGAAAAAGCAAAAATCTACAGTCCTTCATTGAGATTTGATGCTATATCATGGTTCATAAATACTTCATTTATATAAATAAATCTTTTCTCTAGCACTAGGAATTTAAAATTAGAACATGGGTTCCTTAATCAAATAGAATTTTCTCATCCCATGACGAAGAGTGCTGAATGTGTCATTTTTTGGATATACATATTTGATTTAAACACAATCCCCCTTGAAATCCTACTGTAAACAAACATTTCAAATGTGATAAACAAAAATTCCTTGACAAAGAATGTCCATAGGTCTTAACAATTAGGGAAGAGGAAAAAAAATCTAAGTCAAAATTTTGCGACTTAAATAAAAATTTAACAATAGCTATCATGCATCTAGTAGAGAAGACAGGAGATTTAAATTAAAAAGGATAGGAAGAAGGAAGGAAGGAAGAAAGGAAGGAAACATAAGGTCAGGGATGAGGGAGGGGAGAATCAGGAGAAAAAAGAAAGGAATGAGAAAGTGGTAGAGGACAAAGTGATAAAGGGATAAGAAATGTATTATTTCTACTTTTCTTGGGCAACATAGACACTCCTAAAAAATGAATGCAACTTGCTCTAAAAGCGACATAACAGACGAGGTGAGAGGCTTACCAGGTCACCTTACTGTCAAGGGACGTGGCTGAGCAACAGAACAAAATTAAGCTCAAGTACAACTCTAAGCTGTTCTGCATATCTGTAAGGAGGAGGAGGAGATGAGCACAGCCATAGAAAGGTTGCATCTCCCTCAGGAATCTGTATTTATTTATTTCTGGTACTGGTGTGGAAGGAACCCAGGGCCTTGTACATGCCAGGCAAGTGCTCTACCACTCAGTTCCACCTCCAGTGCTTTTTAAAAAGTTTTATGACAAGATCTCGCTAAGCTGCCCAGACTGCCTCAGCCTCCCAAACAGCCTGAGAAGTAGCTTGAGATTGCTGGCATGCACTTCTGTACCTGACTAAAAACTTTTTTCTTTTTCAGGAAGATCTGCTCATAAAGTCTCCCAGAAGCTCGCAAGGGCTCTGCCCATGCTCAGCTTTCTGAAATTGGGAGCTTCTGAAGTAGTCCTTTCCTCCTTTTGGTTAGTGTAGGGCTACAAGGAGCCAGGGCATTTCCAAGGCTGTAGAGAAAGGAGATGTTTTGCATGCGCAGGTAAGAAGGGATAGAGCAGTCAAAATCATTCTTGTTAGACGAATGAGAAGTCAGGACAAGAAAGCATTGTGAGGAAAGATCAAGGCTAAGAGAGACATTTGGGAAAAGTTTAAAAAGCTACTGCCATTTTATCCAGCACAGTGCAACACATTCACAGGTGCAACAAACACTGGGTAGTTGCTTTAAAACAAAAATAAAAATCAAAACCACCTCCCATACCAAAGCCAATATTCTTCCCATCCCCAACCCCTAATTTCAAAAAAAAAAGGTTAACTACTTACAATCCCAGAAACACATCAACTAGTTTCAGGATTCAAAAGTTCCAAACCACTTAAGACAATAAAAAAATAGAAATCACTCCCCATGATTTTCTGTATTGGTCTCAATGTGGACACTGAGGAAGGAAGGGACACAGAGGACAAGCTGGGGAGCCTCAGGCCAGACTAAACCCCTCATAGTTGTCAAGGGCCTGGGTTAGCCGAGCACTCAGAATTTCTTTGCTGCTGTACTTGGGGAGGTCGAGAAGGTTGTAGCAAGTGTGAGCCACGGGCAAATACTCCTCCCCGCTGGCTGTAGACTGGATGACAATCTGCAGGCTGGCCATGCCATAGATGGGAATCCGGTCGCTGCCAGTCAGAAACACTGCAGGGAAAAGGAGATGGCATGATCAACTATGCAAACAGGAGCTGATCTCCGGGTGACAGAGTAAGGCATGACACCCTGTGGCTCACAGGGGAAGTACAATTACATTTATTTGCCAGTGTGCGTCCAATGGAAGGACAGAGGCTCCAAAATGGCCTAAGTCAAATGCACACCCTTATAATTTTTATGAGCTTTCACAAATCAGAGAGAAAAATTATTGACATAGAAAAAGAGGAGCTGCCTTTAGGGAAACGAGGAAAAAGACCAAATCTCTGGGACTTCCAGATCTTCCCTTACTTAAAATGTCTAGGATCTGGACCACCTTGGCCCCTGGGTTTCCCTGTAGGTTCCAGGTGCTCTCCTCTCCCTGGTTCTCTTTTTTATAAATCAATTAAGAGACACTTTTAAATAACTTGACACTATGATATGCCATCTTGCCCACATCTCCTTAGTTAATAAATATTTCTCTAGTCTAAGGTCTCTGGACCGGAGATAACTTTGTCTAAGGAATTCCCAAGGCCACAAACAGGCTTCTTTTGACCATCACGGCCGTAGGAGCTCATCTGGCAAACCCTATCCTGTCACTGGACTCATGCCGCCGCTTCTCAACAGCAAATACAGCTGGGCAGAGGGGAAGCAGGGCCCCTTCTAAGAGCTGTTGTGTAAGGTCACAGCCTCTCAGCTTTGTTCCACATAAGCAGCAGAATCTGGGCCAAGTCTTGCATTAAGAATAATGTGTGCTCATTCTTATAAAGTAAAAGAGAATACCTTTCAAATCCTGTATTTATATAGACAAGAACTCTACACTATTCACAGGCTAATTTCTGACCTTGATTACACACAGACACAACTAGAGAAAGATTTCAACTGTTTTTAAAGGGCTAATTAGCTCCTTTCCAAAGGCACTGCCCTTTTCAGTTGTCATCCAGCCAGTTACAAAGGACTGAATATTGTATGATGCTCTTTATAGGGAATGTCCAGACAGGCAAACCCACAAGGACAGAAACCCTAGGTGGGAAAAGAGGTAGAGAAACAGCGACTGCTAACAGGGATGGAGTGTCTCTGTGAGGTGACAAACATATTCCAAAATTGATTAAGGACTGTTTTATAACTATACTTAAAATGGGTGAAGTGTCTGGTATGTGAATTATATAACATAAAGCTGCTATAAATCATACTTCACGAGCTCCACCTGTAGTGGACACTGTAATACTTTTTAAATACTATAGATAATAAGGGAGGTTAATCCAAATTATTTCATTTCATAAATGTAATATTTAAAGGAATCACTTTCACATCCAATCATACAAATAATTACTTTTTAATTTAATTATTTATTTTGAGATATGGCCTTGTTATGTTGCGCACGCTGGCCTCACATTCCTGAGCTCAAGAGATCCTAATGCCTCACCCTCCCCACTAGCTGGGACTACAGATGCACATTAGCAAACCTGATGTGATAATAGTATCACTTCTAAACTGAGTGAAAATCAGTGAACCAGCTCTCTCCTTCCCCTTATGCAATCCTTCCTGTTTGGCAGAAGAGAGAGATAGCAACCTATGTTGTATCTCTGATGATTATGATGAAAACCAAGTTTGTCTCACTAATCTGCACCAGTTAAGAGTTAAACCTCACTGTAGAATTGTCACCCTACACTATGTGAAAGCCTAGACAAATATATTGAGATCAATACTTACAGAGAAACTTCTTTTTCTTTTCCAGTGGAAACTCATGAAATGTTTCCCAGAATAGTTTCACAGTGGGATGTGAGGCTGAATAATCACCCTTATAGATGGCAGTCTGTCCAAAAAGAAAAAAAGACACCTTACAGAATAAGAATATCACTGTAGACAGTGTATACCATTTGTACTTGAGACTGAGAAATAACTTCTGAGGTGCAGACCACCTCCAAATCCTACTCAACCGTATTTCACTTTGAAGGAGACCAGGCCCTGGGTGCACCTTCAGGTGACTGCTGCTCCACCAGAGTTTGAAGACAACAGGTCTATGCCTACCTCTTCAAGCTCTTCCCAATTGTAGTTGCTGTTCCCCACCATCATGGCCCTTAGTTCTGAGGGCTGGAAGAGCTCAAGTACTTTGCCACCGCACACCTTCAGGAAACCGCTGGAAAAGGCCGTGTACCATTCGTGAACTGAGATTTGGAAAACATAATTGACATAAGCATCCACAAATTCCTGCCTGCAAAAGACCAAAAGAATAGAATACATTGAGCTCAAAGTTGGGTAGAATATTTGAAGTTCTGTTTCTAGGCTGAGGCTGAAAGCAATAAAAGATGGGATTTCATCAAACTGCCACACCAGGTGGCATGCTAAATCCCACAGCGGTCACTAGGCTTCCCTTCCTCCCCCATCCCTGGCCCTGGGGTTCCACCAAGTGCCTCTGGTGATCTGGAGCCAGGGAGGCCAGGTTCACAGAGGAACCATGCTGCTGGTTTTACCTGAAGGACTCTAGTTTTCACCTTGCTTACAATTTACAACTAGGCTACTTCCCTATCTTCAGAAACAAGTAAAGCTATGGGCCAGGATTTAGCTCAGTGGAACCACGCCTGACTTGCAAGCGCGCGGTCCTGAGTTTGATCCCTGGTAACCATGAGGATCCAAAAAGCCTGAACAGACCAATAATAAGCAATGACATTGAATCAATAATATAATATCTCCCGACAAAGAGACCCTCAGTGTTGGCTTCACTGTTAAATGTTACCAAACATTATGGAAGAATGAATGCCGCTTCTCAAACTCTGCCATAGAACTGGAAAGGAAGGAACAATTCCAAATTCACTGTATAAGGCCAGCAATACCCCGTTACCAAAACAGGGCAATAACAACAAAAAATAAACCTATGGAGTAATATCCTTCATTGACACAGATACAAAATTCTTAATAAAATACTAGCAAATTGAATTTAACAGCAAAAAATCATCCATGGGAGGGAGATGACATTATATAACCCAGCAGTGCACCACAGTGTCTCCAGGACCAGGACCAGGACTGTGACACCTCAAAGACAATAACTTGGCAAAGAGGAGGAAGGAAAGCTCTGAGAATTAATAAAGAACTGACAGGAAAACTAGAAATCACAGAGAAACAGGAGAAACTGAAAAAACACAGGGGGAAAAAAGGCAGTCTGGTACACTGGCCCCAGCTTTAGGGAGGGAAGCTGTCAAGCCTAAGAAAATACCACGGTTATTGTACACTGCAAAAATGGTGTGGAGTTTTACTCTGAAAGTACTCCTCCCACGTGGCAGACTAGAGTTAGTGAAGGAGTCCATTACGGCACCCACCATATTTGAGAGAGTTTATTCAGAGCTGCTATACAAATCAGAAATCATAGTGCTAAAAGGCATGGGTACACTGCACCCTCCCCTCTCTCGATTAATGGAAGTGGTCAGATCTTGGGACAGAGGCACAGGCCTATAGTTAAGTCACACCCAGAGCACATCACTGGGAAGTAGATACTAACTAAAGAAACCTGCATACTAGCAACAAAGTCTTTCCCCCAACCCACAGACTAAATGTGTACACGTGCACACGTGCATGCACACACACACACACACACACACACACACACACACATGAAAGCAAGGCAACAAAATGCCTCCCAAAATTCACAAGTCCCTCAAAGCTTATCCATGGGTCATCAATGGGGAGAAAATCAAAAGCCAAATACCTGAACTATATGAAGTAATAAAATAAACAATGAAACAAAAAACCCAGATAAGGTGCTTGGCAAGCTCACAGATGATATGACAAATAACGCACTTTAAAAACAAAAGGATCCGTGAGCTTAAAAAAAACAACACTAAGGCTAGCTGAGCTAAAGAAAATGATATAAAACATGAATGACAAGTTTAACAAGAGTCCATGAAAATGTACCAAATATTAATCCAAGAGATAAAAATTCTACTGAAAGTATGGGCAGAAATGGCCAATGTGAGGACAGACTGTGTAAGAACTAGAAGATAGGGCTGGTGCAGGTGGCCATATACAGTGGTACCTTGGTTCATGTACTTAATCTGTTAAGATTAACTGGAATTTCATACAGGCACTCGAGATGTCTAGAGCCCCAAATAACCACCAGAAGAAAAGAACTCCACAACACATCATAATTAAAATCCTAAAAGTCCATTACAAGGACAGAATCTTAAAAGCTGTTAGAGTAAATCAATTTATAAAGGTAAACCCATTAGAATTACAGCAGTCTTGAAGATAAACAACCTGGGGGACAAAATACATTTTTGTCATAAAGGTGAATAAACATGAGTGTGTCACACCCGTATTTATTGTTCATAATATTTCAATTTATGATCTATTAATTTATGAGTTTTACTGCATTAAACAAATACTTAACAGGAAAAGAATCACAAAAATAAAGCATTACATTTTAAAATTTATTATTTATTAAAAAGAATCAAAATTTTCAACATTGATTTTTGGTGTACAAAGTCTAAAAAAGAACATTAGCAATAAAAACCTAATTGCTTCTGGGCCTTTTGTCTAAGATCAAGTGTAGAAATAAAAACCTATGTGGGGCTGGGGATTTAGCTCAGCGGTTTGGTGGCCTGCCTTGCAAGTGCAAGTACCCGAGTTCAAACCCCAGTACCAAAAAAAGCAAAAAAAAACCCTATGTGAACTATAATGAAAATACCAATAACACTCTACAAAAAAATCTTTATGTCAATTATCTCGCATAGGACAGTCTTTAGACATGTCAACAGTATTTTCCATACACATGTATCACTTACACTGCCAGCACATGTGTTTTGCTTTCCTGGCCTTTTTGAAGGATACACTTGATATCTTGTTGGTGTTGCTATCTTGTTAGGTAGCTCTTACTGTGCAATGTGTAATTAACAAGAACATACAAGAGCAATAAAATAAAGATTAAATTCTTCATAAGTATTGACTATTTAGAATTAACAACATTTTCCTATCAGCTATTTACTTACAAAAACTAAAAGAAACATCAGGAATAAGAATCTATGTGAACTACAATGAAAATACCAATAGAACTCTACAACAAAAATAATCTTTAACTGTCACATCCAACACAGTCTTCACAAATGAAAATTGCAGGTTCCATACATAAGTCTGATACCTTGTATGCTTTGTTTTCCTGTCCTTTCTTGTAGTACAGTTGACAACTTTTTGGTTTTCCTGTTATTATAGTAGGTCTTTGGGATGCTGTACCTGCCTGTTTACCTGTCAGCTCACCATTGTGCTCCACAAATTTTTTGCACAGTTCTCTGGGCAGAAACATTTGTTTTTCCTCTGCTGTAAGTGATCTCTTATGAATTCCAGTCCTAATCCTCTAAGAAAATTTCTCCGTGGTATTTTGCACTTGTTATTTTCTTTGTAAACCATCAAACTATTAATGTCACATGTTTAGGACTAAGTAAAACACAAGCATTGGCCAATGCTTTTTGTTTTGAGTTACATCACAGTTGCTGCACAACTTATTAACAACATTTACTCCACCTTTGGTTTTGTTGTAGAAAGTTTCCATCTCAGTATTCTGTTTTTCTAGGTATCCTTATTAATATTTCCATCGTGGTGCAATGTTGACATGAGCAGTACTAGTTTGTTTTTCTTTGCCATATATGAAGCTAATGTAAATCTTTCTGAGGTCCAAAGATTGTACTATACAATTCTGGGTTAGTTTGTTTGTTTTTCCAATTCTCTGTTTTGAAATTGCAACATTTGATTTGGAATTTCTTCTTTGTGCCTGCATACAGTTCCTACACTGGTCAACTTTTGCTCTGTTAACAAATGTAACATTGATTGGAAACTGGTAATTCAACTGTTGAATGTCACATTTTGATCAGTTTGGGAGATAGAGCAACATCTGCTCACATCACCATACAGTTTATTTCTATAGGAATAAGGACCTAGTGGCTGAGTTTCAGGATAAATTTCTAAATGGAAAGTGTGATAAGTCTTTGCATCTACAAGGAGATAAATTTTTATGCCATATTTTGAAGGTTTTTTTTTTTTTTTTGACATATATTCCCTGAAGCTACAGTGGCCAGGAAATACTGCAAGGTGTTCACCAATAGTTATATATTCAAATGGTATGTAAATTGCTTGATAATTACTCACAAATCTGTCAAATGACCAGAGAGCAGCCAGATTATCAGTACTTTTATTTTCCTACTGGGTAGTTTCATCATCAAACCTCAGGCAATTATGAAGGAAACCAAATCTCCTCAGTGTCATTGTTATTCTACAAGCCCACTCCCACCACTTTTCCTTAAATCATTTACATTCCTGTGATTACCATGAGAAAGCCCTGCTAAATTAAGGAGACCTATGAATGCTTTCAGTTCAACTAGTGAGGTATCATAATGAACACATTTCTGAGTACACTTTTGGTGCATAAAGAGCATTTTACTTATATTTCAGCCTTTGTGTATTTCACAGTATCATACAGCATTTCCTGTGTTACAATTTCCAACACCAAATGGTAGTCCTGACATTCTATCCAATAGGTTTCACCCTGCCAGAGTTATTACTATATTTTCAGACCTAGTACTAACACTGGATTGTTCCATTTGGCTGTGTGACCATTTTGCAACATTTTGACTAATCATATATGCATTCATATTGCTCTTTAATTCATCATTTGAATCAAGGTCTGTATTCCTTGTGTCTGTATCAGTCGATTCTTGCACCATGTCACTGTCTGTCACAGGAACTTTGGTTTACATGGCCAAGGTCAAAGAAGTCATTATTGTCATCATCATTATCATAATCATTCACTCACACACCCTTTTTGCCATAATGGATCATCTTCCTCATCAATGAATGAGAAATCTGATGAATTACTTTTGACTTCCTCCAAAACCTGCAAATCTAATTTTTCATGTGCTACTGTATTGAACTGGACTACTTCTACCAGAAAAATCCAAAGAAAACTTTTATAAGAAAACAAATACTAGAATGGTGTGGGTGTATTATACTCTGTGTGATGCTAAGGTAAATATACACAAAACCTAATGTTAGTCAGAGTATAATATGGATGAAAATCCTGGTTTGACATTTTTACACAGGTTTACCCAGCTTGCCATTCTTAGTACCATGAGGGTAACCACAAAGATTGCTTCCTGTATCAATCAGGAAAAGGTACTGAGATACATAGCAGGCTATTATTATGCTAAAGTACACATTTATATTAGAAAAGTA